AACCCGGGTCGTTCTGCTTTTGGGGCAGGCAGCGGAACCAGAGCTAAATCCCTGGCTGCAGTCTTCCTTTTGATGAAGGAAAGAGTCTGCACAGATGAATATGACTGTAACGTAAAGAAAAACAAGATCTAACAAAATAATCAGGAATTTGAACAAAAATATTTAATTCATGTTTAAACCAAGTTTTAAGACTGGTCATGTATTTAGCACCAAAGCTTTATGAAACTTTTACAAAGAAAAGATGTGTTCAATCAAAGGAAAAGATTCTGAAGTCAGGCAATGTGCAGGCAGGATAGTGTCCCAGGTTATTCAGCTGCAAAATGAAATGACACAGAAATTCAGTATTGGAAGGTATAGTCTTTTTTCTTTACACCTACCCCCAGAATAACAATAATTCATAGGAATGATTTAAAATATTCAGGGATTAAAAAAAACAGAATTTAGGGCTCAGGATTTGGCTCAGTGGTTCCACCACCTGCCTCACAGAGGAAAGGTCCCAAGTTCGATCCCCAGTACCACAAAAAAACACCAGAATTTGACTGGAAGTCCAGCATGGTGCTGCACTCCTGCAATGCCAGCACTTCAGGAGGAGGCAGCAGAGGATCAAGTACAAGCCCAATCCAGGCAATTTAGCAATACCCGGTCTCAAAATGAGAAAAAAGGGGTGGGGGATGCAGCTCAGTGGGAAGGACCTGGGTTCAGTCCCTAAGTCTATGGGGGGGGGGCGTCCAAATAAATAGCACGCTGTTACAAACTTTGACAGAGAGTATGACAGGGTGTAACAAGTTTTAGCTAGTAACTCAAATTTAGTACTAAAATAATTTAAATGGTTTCCAAATTCATAAGATGGTGCAGGGCCGGGGATGTAGCTCAGTGGCACTGTGCCTGCCTGACCAGTGCAAAGCCGTAAGTTAGATTCCCAGTATCAGAAAAAATGAAAAGGAAAAAAAGGTCCAAAAGATTGTTTTTATTATTGAAAAGGGATAGTTTTAACTAAAACTTGGTGAATACAATTATACTAAGTTTTACCAGTGGGCAGTTCTAGTTCTTTAAAATGAAGCACCGTTGTTAGCTGGACGTGGCAGTGCACATCCATAATCTCAGCACCGGAGGCTGAGGCAGGAGAACAGTGAGTGATCAAGGACAGCCTGAACTACACGGCAATATCCTTTCTCAAAAAAACAAAATCGGGCTGGGGATTCAGCTCAGTGGTTTCGCTGCCTTCCTCAAAAGCACAAGGTCTGGAATTCAATCCCTGGTACCAAAAAAAAGGGGCATGAGCATTGTGGGCGACATTATTTCCTTCTTTGGGAATCCTAGAAGGGAGGCACAGCCAATACCTTAGTTCAGCACAGTGCAGAAGGAGAAAACACTGTTGTGACTTAATTTCCAAATACCTTCTAGAACAAGAGCATTGAAAATTCAAAAGATGTCACCAAAACATTATACAAACCTAGGTGTGATGGCACTTGCCTGTAATCCCAAACTCAAGACGGTCATGAATTTGAGGCCAGTCTGGACTATATACAGTGAGACCTTGTCTAAAAACAAGCCCAGCTTGGTGTCGCACACCTATGATCCCAGAACTCCAAAGGCTGAGGCAGGAGGATTACTTTGAGTTTGAGACCAGCCTGAACTACATAGTGAGAATCTGTCTCAAAAGAAACAAAAGGGTTGGGAATTCGGCTCAGTGGTTGCACTGCCTGCCATGGAAGCACAAGGACCTGAGTACGATCCCCAATACCAAAAGAAACAAGAGTAGATGGGCCGGGATTTAGCTCAGTGGTTCCACCACCTGCCTCACAAGCACAAGGACCCAAGTTCAATCCCCGTACCGGAAAAAAAAAAAAAAAAGAGAGAGAACGAATAGCATAATAGAATGTGCTAATTGCTAATAGTATCCCTTTTTAATTCTATACAAACTTAGCTGAATGAAATAATACAGTTAAGTGCACATGAGTTGTAGAGACGGAATACGAAGCTCGAGTAGGAAGTCACAGCCAGTGAAAACGAATGCAGCTTAGCTGTTTCCCTTTATCAAGCATTTCCATTCAAGATTGTTAATAGTTGTAATATTACAATGTCAAAGCCAAAAGTTAATTTGCCCCAACATACAAACTGAGTCTTCATTCTCACTGGCAAATCCCTTATTGGAGACCATCACTGGACATAAATCTTTATTAGTACATGTTTGCAGTATATGATGAATATATTAATTCACTGGGCAAAACTTCAGTTAAGATACCTAAATTTTTTCTTTTGTTTTTCTAAGACAAGGTCTCCTTGTGTCGTTTAGACTGGACTACAACACACTCTTCAGCCCATATCCCAGGCTGGCCTTGAACGCAAAGTAATCCTGCTTCAGCCTCCCTAGTGCTGACATTACAGGTGTGTGCTACCACGCCGGACCCAATCCTTCTGTTAAAAGTCAACCTTTCTAGAAAACTGCCAATTCAATATTTTACAATTTATAAATGCCCTACTAGATCCATGCTATACACTCTGCAGTATCTTCATACCTAAATTCGTATCTATTCTACTTACAGCTAATCTACAATTAGTCTATTTATAGATTTTCCCCATCAAAACCACTGAAGACCAGGTGTAGTGGCACACACGTATGATCCCAGCCTTGGGAGACTGAGGCAGGAGGATCTAGAGTTGAGGCCAACCTCAACTACAAAGGTGAGACTGTCTCAAAGAAACAAAACACACACTCTCTCACTCAAGTGTAGAGACACCATCAGTTCCTGCAAAGGTGGCTGCCTAGTGAATCTGTTGCCCCAGCTACCACCTCATTCCTGTCTTCTAGGTCTTGGGTTCCACATCTGTAAATAGTTAACTGGAGGCCTCTTCCAAATGACCAGCCAGCTTCCTGGTCTGGAAGTTCTACATTAAAAAGGAAAAATATTCCATGTGTTACCCGCCTCTTCACAGACCACTGACCTGTACAGGGAAAATACCCACATGGATTATGTCCATGCAGACAGCCTTTTGTCATTACAAAGAAACCAAAAAGTGGCTAGTTACCCAAGCTGGCTATCTCCACCTGTAGCAGATATTGGACAAACTCAAAGAAATTTCTATTGAAAATATTTGCAGGGGGTGGGGAGGGCCAAACATAGGATCTTTGCACCAAGCCATATCCCCAGTCCTTTTTCCTTTTTTTTTTTTGAGTCAGGGAGGGTCTTGAAATTGTTTGTCCAGGCCAAGCTTAAATTTACAATCCTGCCAGGGATTTGGCTCATTGGTTCCGCTGCCTGCCTTGCAAGCACAAGGAACTGAGTTCGATCCCCGGTAACACACACACACACACACACACACACACACACACACACACCACTTACAATCCTTCTGCCTCAGCCTCCCAGGTGCTGGGATTACAACCACCATACCCAACTCAATACACACACACACACACACACACACACACACACACACACACACACACCACTTACAATCCTTCTGCCTCAGCCTCCCAGGTGCTGGGATTACAACCACCATACCCAACTCAAATACATTTTTTAATATATAGCTACTCGATAAGTATATAGAATATATATTTTAAGATTACAGTTTTTAAAACTTGTTTTCCTATTGAAAGTTTAGGTGAAATACGCCAGACTGCAAGTTGAAATGGAGGGATCATTTGACAAAAATCCACTACGTAAATTTGTGATGATGCTTCACATTTTTCAAGGTATGGACTACAAAACAATGTTATTTTTGTACTCCACAATCATGATTTTAACATTTTCTTCCTTTTCCCATGACTTCTGAAACAAACCAAATACGGTTTATGCCGTAATAGTACATTTGCCAATATCCATATTAGCAATATCCACTTCAAAATCAGTATCATAAATCTCACCCAGATTACAAAGCCTGTGAATTATTTTCTAATCTTTCAGAACTTTAGATTTCAAACTTCCAAAAACACCTGAATGAGCCAGTTCATTAACTTGAAACATACTCAAAAAATCTCTGAAGGTAATTCCCTTATAACCCCTCCATCGCACTGTGAACTTATTTCAACCTATTATAAAGAAATTTAAAATAGTTGTTTCTGTTTGCAGGAAAGAAATATGTTCTATTCAAGTGAAACATCTTGTTTAAAATTGTGTGTTTAGTAAAATCAAAAAGCATTGACCAGGAGTTCCCCAAAAGAAATTCTACTTGCTTTTCAGAAAATGGTAATCAAAGAAGTTCAAACCGAAAGGAAGCTGACAGAAGACTATGGATTTCCACTAATAATCTGCATTATTAATTCCATAGTAACTAATATATTTGACTGAATTTAGAAATCTACAAAAAGTTGCCTTCTTTAAAAGTTTCAAGTTTCCTAAGTGTCAAACTGACTTAAATCATACCAAATTTAAGTCAGACACAAAAAAGTTTGAAAGCAACTTTTAAGAAATCTGGGGATAAACTTGCCTCCACAGGAAATCAGATATATTTTTTCACCTTTTTCACTAACCGTACAAAGCTACAAGAGGAAAATAAGGAATCAAATCTTATGGACACATGGAGCACACAGAAAAATACCAAGCTGAGTTACCAGCCCCAAAAGCAGTCATACCTGAGGCAGAAAAACAAAACAGAAGAGACCGGTTATAATTACCCAAATGTACAAAAGAAAAGGCAGCATGTGACGGACTAGGACGTTGGTGGCAGTATGAACCCTAGAAGCACATCACACCTCTATTCTATGAAACTTCACTTTAAGAATGTACTGATTCACCGCATATTATCTGACTTATAACTATTCTCAGATAATATATTTCCTGACAGGGCAAACAGGAAACTAAAAGCTTGGTCTTCCGCCTTTTCTAAACACTATTACAAAGAATAATTTTCTACCGTCTTGAAATTTTCAAAGCTTTTTGAGAAACACACACAAATAATTTGGATTTAGTTGATTTTTATTTACAGCTTTTGTTTTTTTTTTTCTTTTTACATTTCAGAGCATTACACAATTACATTTCTCATTTTCTGACCTGCAAACAGATACCTTAAAGGGAAATATTTTTTTAAAATTATCAAATTAGGTACATCCGAAATGCAACAATTACACATGACAATTAATTCACAAAGTGTAATTTACTAGGACGTATCCTAAGAATTTAGGAACAGCCAGTCAGGAGAAATCTGACCAAATTTAATAACCAACTATTTACATATCCAAAAATCAAACCTATCTAAACTCCCAAACCAAAAGCTTGAAAGTTACTTATGTCCCCACTGGACAAAAGAGTGATGGTTCGGACCTGACCGTTTAACAGTTGGAAGCAGACACGGGGCTACTTACTTCCCGTCTGTAACTGAGTAAACCGCAAGCGTCTCAGTTTGTCAAACACCCACATATCAAACTTTTACACCATTATACGCACAGAAAGGCTAAGTGTTCATTAATTTAAAAAACAAGTAGTCATTATTCACTCTTCCACCTACTCATCATCTCTTCCTAAAATCTCAAATATTCAACCCGTGTCACACAGTGACAGGCGGTAGTGTGTGTGTGAGTGAATATACAGTAACAGGTACAAATGGTAATAAACAGTCCCTGCAAAAATTCAGTTTGTTGAGGCTATGGCTTCTGTGCCTTGGGACGGTTTCAGGTTTCAAACCTGGAAAATACTGTTAAAATCTCACTTCCTGAAGACAAATCTGAGTGATTTGCCTGTTCAGTTTTAAGCTTCTCAGTCTAAAAATGGCTATAAGGTAAGTATAAAAAGCCAGCCAACTGAGTGCAATTTTTTTGTCCAATTTGGCCAAGCTATTTTGTAGAAATTATTCCTAACTAGCCTAGAAGACTGTGGCACCTCGCAATGGTTCTTGCCTACCTCACTGTCCGGGTTCACGTTTCAAACTGTGTCAACAGAGCCCGCACCTCGGGGGTTAGCTGCTTGGCTGCCTTAGCAGCCTCTGTGATGGCCTTGCGATACAGGCCCTTTCTCTTCTTATTAAAGCGTGACTGGAAGTTTTCTAAAAAGGGGGAGAGTTGCGAAAGAGCAAGGAAAGAAGTGGTTGGAGACCCGAACCACGAAATTCGGGCCTCCTGTCGGACTAAAAGGCCATTATCTTTCCGGCTCACAGTTATAGTAAGAATACGGGCTGGCCACCAAGGGAAGCCATAGATCTTGGCCCAAACAATGTCCCCTACACATATGGTCCTGCCATCTGGTGTGATGCATTTAGACACGTTTTTGGAAAAGATTTTCATTTTCAAGGAATTACTGCGCTTTTTCTCTTCCTTTGAAGAGGAGGAAGTAGAGGAGGCACAAGGTGCATGAGCCCTGCCTGGAGGAAAGTCAAGGCTTTCAGAAGAGCTACACTCAGAGTTGGAAGATTTCAAACCATCTGAGCTATCAGCACTACACACCGAAGCACTGGGAGAGTCGCACTTCTTTGGCGTTAGGGCCAGGTAAACAGACACACTGCTCCCGCTGCCCTTTGTGCCCGGTGTCTGCGGCTCATCACGCCCACCAGGCGCATGCACTCCACTCGTGTCCTGAACCTCACTGCTGGCCTCTTCGGGGCCTTCTGAGGGACTCTCACTCTCTGAAGGGGCCTCACCTGCTGAGCGGGTAGAGGTACAGCGAGACTGGGGCTTGGGCGCCACCTGGCCGCTCCGCACTTTCTCCAGTCCTGTCTTCAGGGAGGAGTCATTTTCTTCATTCCTGTATCGCTGTGGTTTTAAGCGAACTCGGGGAGGGAGAGAACCTGAGCTAGAATTCTGATAGCGCCGGGTGAAGTGGACTTTTGAATGTGCATTTTTGGAAGTAGAGGTTTCACTTTGCTTCTTTTGTGCCTTTTCTTTGGCGATTTTCAATACTTCCCGAGCTTTTGCATGATCCATGTTCTTACTCTGGAGCACTTTTTTAGTACTTAGCTGAGCTTTTGATGTATTTGCCTGAGCAGAAGAAACTTTTACTACTCTGCCTCTACTGGGAGCAATACTTGAAACCTTAACCACAGCATTTCTTCTCTGGCTTTCGTTTTGGTTTTTCCCATCCACTTTAGGATCAGTTTTCAGTTTTTTGTTCATAGTAGCCACACTTTCATTTCTCCGCTTTTTATCTTCATATTTTGAAGAGTCACTTGCACTGCTCCCTTTTCTGATTTCCTTTTTCTCAGCAACAACACTGTTCTTACATTTATCACACAAGACTTGCCTGGGTCGCAGCTTAATAGCATTCATTATCGAAGTGGGTTCTTCCCTGTACATTTTTCGCTTGGGCCGCTTTATTTTCCGAGGAGGGGGCTGAGGTATTGATTGGTTATAGGTGTCCCTGATAAACAAAGGGGGAGGGTAAGGCGCTCCTGCATGGAAGAGAGGTGGTGGTTTGGATGTCCACAGGCTTTCCGCCACATTCGGCTCAGGAGGCGAGACAGGGACAGGAGAAGGCTCAGTGGGAACAGCACCATTCGTCTCGCGCTTGACTTCTGTCCCTTCTTGGAATGTATTACTTGGGAGCTGCATGGCTTCCGGTTTATCCTTATATTCCCTTTTGGGAAATACTGTCACGGGGATCCCATGGGGCCCAAACCTTGAAGAGAAAGAAGAAAAAAGAAGCTAGTAAGTTAATATCTCTAATTCAAGGTATTAAAGTGTAAATAACACTTCATTTACATAGCCTTTCCTAACAACTATTTCACGTTAAAATAAGACAACACAATAACAAAGATCTACTGACTACAAACCCCTTCTTCTGGTATTGCTTTTGGTCCTACATTTTACCTAAAACAGAAATACTAGAAATTAAACAATGCCAGAATGGCTAACTTTACATAAAATAGAACTTTCCACTCCCAAATCAAAGGATATCCTATCAGACAGCTTAATATGACGTTTACGTCAGGTGATCCTACATTCAAAGAACTACGTACCTTTTCAGTAACTGCAACTATTACATAGTATCAAAATTGATGTAAATCCCACTCTGGCTACCCCAACCATTAAATCAGGAAAATCCCATCTTAACCATATTGGTTAATGCTAAAGATTCAAAGAAAGTTCTTCCTTTACTCTTATCTCAACTCTTAAGCTTCCCATTCTACCACCGCAAAACCACAAAATACTACAAATTCACTCAACTTACTTTTTTGGCAGGGGGAACCAGGGACAGAACTCAAGAACTGCACGCGAGGCAGGTAAGGTGCCAGTGAGCTAAAACCCCACCCCAACTTTCAAAGCAGACATGCATAGAGCTGTGGCTTTCAAATTTTATGTGATTGTTCTTTTTCTTTTTCTTTTTTTGGTACTGGGAGCCTTTGCACTGAGCCATCTCACCAGCCCTTTTACTGACATACTCATTTATACATTCAGAGACAGGGTCTCCCTGTCATTAAACCACCCAGGCTGGGCTCAAACTTGCAATCATCCTGCCTCTGCCTCCCAGAGTCTTGGCAATATAAGCACGGGCCACCGAACCCAGCACCTCAGACTTTTAAATTTAATGCATTAAGAAACAGGGCTGGGCCGGGGATTTAGTTCAGTGGTTCCACTGCCTGCCTCACCTGCCTCAAAAGCACAAGGAAACGAGTTCGATCCCTGGAACCAGAAAAAAAAGAAAGAAATATATTTCCCATGAAGGCGGAAGTATATGCCAAGAGTGGAGGGAGACTCGGGTGTGGTGGCACACGCCTGTACTCCTACGGTAGGGAGGCAGGAGACGCAGGAAGATCACTGTGACTTTCAGGCCAGCCTTGTCTCAAACAAAGAGAGTGAAGAAAGAATATGCAAACTCTGTACTTTCTGCAACTTTGCTGTGAAGTTAAAACTGCTATAAAATATTAATATGCATACTAAACAAAAACAACTCCCAAAAGAATTATTTGCATATTGTAAGCCAATAAAACATGTGTAAATACTTAACTTTCTATTATTATGTGATACACAGTGATAGGGCGCTTTTTCCCCACTCAGGACTACTTGTCTTAATGCTAGTCAGACCCATTAAATTGATTTTAAAACTCTCTGAGTCCAGACCTGTATGTAAAACAGCTCAATATAAACCGTTACAGTTCTCAATTTTTTTGTTTGTTTTTTGTTTTGGTATGGGGGCTTGACCTCGGGCCCTTGTGCTTGCAAGGCAGGCGGCAGAACCACTGAGCTAAATCCCAGGCCCTACAGTTCTCTATTTTTAATAAAACAGAGGTCAAGGGCCGGGTATCTAGCTCAGTGGCACCATGCCTGCCTTACAAGTGCAAGGTCCTGGAGTTTGATCCCTGGTACCAGGAAAAAACAAAACAAAACAAACAGAGGTCAATAAGTCTATCTCACACAGACCTAGAAATGACTGGTTTAATCTGCCTGGGCATAGCATCAAGAAGCTGACCCTTACACTAAACTTGCAACACTCAGTTGACATCAATATAAAAATAAAAGCACTCACCCCACAACTGTAATCTACCCCAACATGTTGATTATAAGCACTACCTGATACTCTATTTTCCCCCTTTGGTTTTGGTTTTGTTGTTGTTGTTGTTTTTTGGTACTGTAAATTGAACTCAGGGCCTCCTGCGTGCCAGCAGGTGCTGTGTTGCTGAGCAATAGCCCCGGCCCTTCCTCTTTTTTTTTGAGACTGGGCCCTGCTATGTAGGTTCAGGCTGTCCTTGAACTCACTATGGAGCCCAGGCTGGCCTCCAACTTGCCACAATCCCCCTGTCTTGGCCTCTTGAGCACTGGAACTACAGGCATGCACCACCACTCAGCCTAGCACTACTTGACTCTAACAGTGTCTAACACAGGGCTAATACCACTGCTGTTAAGGCAAAAGGAGCGTACTAGCACCTGCCTCACAAGTGCAAGGGCCCCAGTTCGATCCCCAGTACCAAAAAAAAAAAAAAAAAAAAAAAAAAAGGGGTCCTAGAAAAAAAATCAAAAAAAAAAAAAAAAAAAAAAAAAAAAAAAAAAGGGGTCCTTAGAACTAAAAGACTGACCTGCAGCCAGTCAGATAGAGCCCTCAAAGCAGTTTCTGAGCACTTGCTCTGGGAAACCCTTATCTGGGGCTCAGGTTCTCTAAGATGTCCTTATGTTCTCCAAGATTCAGAATGTCTGTCCGGCCAAAATCGTGACATCCAGTACCTAAACTTGGACAGGGATGTACAGAGTTAGCTTCCATACAACAGGCATCCACATCTATCCTGTTCCATCTGAAGTCACTGGAAGAGACTTAGCTACTACAGACCAACAGGTTACACAGCAAACACCTACAAACCGGAAAGTAAGAGGAAAGCAAACCCTTCGGACTTAGGGTAGGACAAGTCCAGAAAGGAAAGACACTCCCTCACTGGAACAGCCTTTACAGAAAGGTGTTTTTCACCCTCGCACAGCAGCTAACACCACTCCTTCCTAAGTGCTTTCTGCCTTTTCCATATGCAAGTGTGTCTTCTTACCACACCATCTCTGAATCCTCCTGTAGTTCTGTAAGACAATAACTTATCTGAGGAAGCACCACTATGTATGATAGTTTTCTAACTCATGAGAAGCCATCATCTGCCCGTTTACACATTCACATCTTTCTATAGCTAAAAGAAAAAAACCTTCCTCTTCCTGGGAATAACCAAACCATAATTTTTGTTTTCTTTGGTATTGAACTCAGGACCTTGTGCTGTCGAGGCAGGCACGGTGCCACTGAGCTAAATCCCCAGCCCAAAAATAAACTGCTTTTTTGAAACTTTTGTTTGTTTTTGTTGTGGTATGGGAGGTCAAATCCAGGGCCTCACACATGCTAGGCCAACACTTACCACTGAGCCAAACCCAAATTAAGTATTTTTTTGTTTTTGCTTTGTGGTGTTGGGGATGAAACCCTGGGGTCACACAACTAAGCATCACAACCCCAAGCTACACTCTCAGGCACGAAGTGTGTTTTATGGCATAGGAAGGCACTTACTAGTATAATGGATGGAAACTGCAGGCTACTAAAAGAAAAAAGAAGCCAAATTGATAAATGTGGATAGTGAATAACTGGCAAACAAAATTTATCTATATGCTTTTTTTCTTCTTTCTCCACCAAGGATAAAACTCAGGACCTTGTGCTTGTCAGGCAGGTGCAGCGAGGCAACCCTGAACTATATCTGCAGCCCCAGAACATTTTAAAGTAATCATCAGAGGTCCTCCAAGAAGCATAAAGGTAAATCAGTGGGAGAAACAGGGCCCTGGGGTTGGTGGTCTTCACTCAGGGTCTCGGTACCAGGCTGCACCCTTCACAGACTTCATACCTTGGACAGGGTTATCAAACTGAGGGGTAACAGGGTCACAGGATGAAAAAGAGAAAACCAGAGTACTTAAAAACACGAGAGTGACTAACTACAACAGATCTGTTTCACATATGTATATATGCAAATAAAGATCCACATGTATAACTGTGATAGTCATAACTGACTTGGTATGAGGAATGCAGTTTTCATGTTGACTTAAAAACAAATTTTTGGTGGCTTATTTAATGTTATTAATCACATCCTTGATTCTAGTTAAGGTAAAGTAAATGCACCATCTCCAGACTTAAAAAAAAAAAAAAAGATCCACATGTGAAATATATTTATTTATATCTATGCTCAAAAAATTCAGGGCCCGCCTAACTTGCAAGTACAAGGTCCTGAGTTCAATCTCCAGTACCAAAAACAACAAAACCAAAAAAACCTTGAGGCCACTAACCTATGGAACTTAAACCTTATTACCAAAAAAATGTTTTTGAGACAGGGTTTCAATATGCAGTTCAGGCTGGCCTTGAAGTCACTATGTAGCCCAGACTGGCCTCAGACTTGCAGCAATCCTCCTGCCTCACTCAGCCTCCAGAGTGCTGGGATTACAAGTGTGCATCACTGTACCTGTTGGTATCCTAAGAATTTAGAGTACGAACAAGACTCTGGTCCCTCAAAAGTGAAAATAGAAAAATGGAAACAAAGCTTTTATACGTAGGAAGAGGACTTGGGGAAGGGGATAAAATAAAATTCATTGAAAAAATTATGGTCCCTGTAAAATCCAAAATCCTAGCTAGTCATGGTGAAGAGTGCCTACAACTCTAGTTCTTGGGAGGCAGAGGCAGGAGGATAGCTGAGTTAAAGGCTAGCCTGGCTACACAGTGAGTTCAAGAACAGCCTGACTACATAGCAAGACCATCTCAAAAAACAAACAAGGGCTGCGGATTTAGCTCAGTGTTGCCCGCGCTGTGCATGCGCAAGGTTCTGAGTTCAATCCCCATACCAAAAGATAAAGAAAAAAAATCCTTTTGGGCCAGGGATTTTAGGTCCTGAGTTTGATCGCCGGTACCCAAACAAACAAAAAACCCCAAGATCCTGCTGGGTGTGGTGGCACACACCTGTAAGCCCAGCACTTGAGGAGGCTGAAGCAGGAAGATTCCAAGGTGGAGATCAGCCTGGGCTAGACAGTGAGCTCTGGGCCAGTCTAGACTACATACTAAAAGCTTGTCTTTAAAAAAGAAAAGGAAAATGTTAATTTCTCTATAGTCACACTTCTATATTTCAAAATAAAGATTCCTAAAAGCCCTGCCCTATACTCTGCCAGTGAACCCAAAATGTGAATTTTCAGTAAGCACCTTTAGCTTTTTAAAGGTAAAGACCCTTATGTAACAGGTAGTGTTCAAAGAGTGACCTCACCAGAGGAAAACTCTAGTTAAGTGGATAGGTACGTAACAGTGACTGCTGGCTCCTGCTTGTGCTTTTTCTAAAACAACCTCAGATACTCCAAGAGTTAAACATGTGCTCACCATGTGCAAGGGTCTGAGTTCACTGGATTCCTAGCACAAAAAGAAAAAATGAGTGGGGCTTGGGGTTGTGGCATAGAAGGCACTTACTGGTGTAGTAATAATGGTAATCAGTGACTGATCCCTTGCCTAGCATGGATGTAGGCAGAGTTCAATCCCCAGGCTGTAGAAATACAGGAGATAACTTGTGAGAGAAAAACGAGGTAAAGGTGCAAGAGACCTCTGCACCACCTTTGCAACTTCCTGTGAATCTGTAATTCTTCAAAATAAAGTTTAAAAGTAACTGTACTGTATACCTGAAATGTACCAATAAACTCAATTAAAAAATAAATAAATGAAGTTTAAAAAAATACTTACCTCCTGAGTAAGTTAGGAATGAGCGCCAAAATCCCGAGTGGACAGAAAATCGGGGTTTAATAGTTGCTTTGCGTCAGGGCAAGGTATCACATGACAAAGATTATCAGAAGTCAAGCATGGTGCCATATTCCTGAAACCCTAGCACTTGGGAGGCTGTGACAAAAGGGTCACAAGTTTGAGGCCAAACTGGAGATAGTGGCCCTGTCTCCAAAGAAAAGGAAAAAACCAAACCAAACCAGCAAAAATAGGTAATGTGCGGGCCGGAGATTTAGCTCGTTGTTTCCGCTGCCTGCCTTGCAAGCGCGAAAACCTCAGTACAAGCCCCGGTAACAAAGAAAGGTACTGGGGAGCCAACCTCGGAACCTGGGGAACACAGTGAAGTCCTATCCCAAAAGTAAAAAGGTTTGGTGATGTAACTGGAAGGTACATCATCTGCCCAGCATGTATATGGCCCTACATTCAATCCTCAGTACCACAAGAAAAAACTATTATCTCCCAGTATTTAGGTTCCATTTATGTCTAAATTTTATTAATGATTCTAGCCTTAATCAAATCAACTTTTACTCACCTATAAAAACTTCATAAAGTTATGATTCTTGCCCAAGATTCACAGCTTTACCACTCAATCCTACTCTTGACACACGCATCGCTCCCTTCTTAGAGTAAAGCTCTTCTCGGCTGTCATACAAATTCCTCCCCAAAGGATCCTTCAAACATAGGGAAAGATTTCTGATGCCTTGGTCAGACATATTTATAATTCTTTTTTTATTTTTTGAGACAGGGTCTCACTATGTAGTTCAGACTACTATGAACTCACTGTGTAGCCCAGGCTGATCTTGAACTTGCAGCAACCCTCCTGCCTCAGCCTCCCAAGTGCTGGGATTACAGGCATGCGCCACCATGCCCGGCATGTAATTCTTTGTTGTTTTTTTTTGGGGGGGGTACCGGGATTGAAGTCGGGTCCTTGCGCTTGCAAGGCAGGGCACCGAAACACTGAGGTAAATCCCCGGCCCTCCCGGCATATAATTCTTATTTGTTACTTTCAAACTTCCTTTTAAATGCTCATACAGTATTCACTGCTAGATTTCATAGCAACTCCCATCACTCCTCTCTAACCTAGGGCTTGTACTCTTCCCCTTCCCATGCACAAGTGCAACAGCCCAACTGGGTCTTCTTTCCCTTCCACTCTTTTTGCCAAGTTGCAACTACAGGAGGGCATCTTTTGTAAACCTTATCCATTAAATGTAAAGGAATAATAAAAAGCAAAGGTATTACCAACTAAGGGCAGGGGATTTAGCTCAGTGGCACTGTGCTTGACTCCCAAGAGCAAGGTCTTAAATCGATCCAGGGTGCCCACCCCACAAAAAAGGGTATTACCAACTGAGCAAGCAAAGTGCAGTCCTGGGAAACTAAATGCTCAGAATAATACTTCAGGAGGGCTAATGGGGACAGCCTAGTGCACTGGCCGGACCAAAGCTGCCTCCCTGCAAAAGGATCTGGAGAAAACAAAAAAAAGCTCTCTGGTAGTGGGAGAAACTTATATGCAGCTACTACTTGGCAAAGGGAATGAGACGAGAGAAGGGGAGAGAGTAGGAAAAAAGACATAAAAAGAATTAAGCTGTGTTATGTACATGTACCAACTCCCCATGGTGAATGGAGCCACATACCACAAACATGCACTGATTAAACCTTAAATGAAGGGGCCCGTGACTTGGCTCAGCGGTTCTGCCACCTGCCTCGCAAGCGCAAGGACCCGAGCTCAATCCCCAGTACCAAAAAAAAACCTTACGTGGAAAAAAAAACAACAACAACAACAAAAAACCTACATTTTATTTTTTGTTTTTGTTTTGTTGCTGGGAATCAAACTCCAGACCCTGTGCTTGTGAGGCAGGTGCCGTTACCAAGCTAAATTAAATCCCTGGCCCACCTAGATTTATTTTACTTCAAGCAGATGTTCTTAAAAACTATCTCTCCTTGGCTGGGGATTTAGCTCAACTGTGCTGGCTTTACAAGTGCAAGATCCTCTGTTTGATCCCCTGGTACTGTAAAAAGGAAAAGAAAAAGAAAAGAAGGAAAACCTCTCCTTACAATTAACAACAGTTTCAGTCAGGAGGAAAAACTGAAGCAAGCTCATTTTGGTTCACATCCTATCTCTATTCAGATTGGTTATTATATTAAAATTTAATATCAGAAAATAAATCAGGGTTTGGCTAATTACAATATAAAGTATTATTTAAAATTAATAATATGACTCTAGGATCCAGTGCTCCCATTTCTGAGTATGTTTCCAAAAGAACAGAAAGTGCAGCCGGGGATTTAGCTCAGTGGTTCCGCTGCCTGCCTGGCCAGCGCCAAGGACCTGAGTTTGATCCTGGTACCAAAAGAACAGAAAGTGGAATCTCTAGGGAATATTTACACATTCATGGTCTCAGTGGCCATCTTTCACAAGAGCTGATAGATAGAAGTGCCCATGGCCCAGCAACATGCACCTGGGTAAACAAGACACAGGTGGCAGTGTGTCTGTACC